CAGTCATATCAGTGCAACAAATGTTCTGTAGCGTTTGAAGCGCTAAGTGGACCGCAGCCTAAGACGGTCTTAAATATAAGATCCGACTATGGCCGGTATTCATAGTCAGATCTTATATTTAAGACCGTCTTAAGTTCAGCCTTGAGATGTCATGAACCAATCAGAGAGCCGCATTAGCGTCTTAAGACATTACTTAAGACAATATTGAAATAAGAACCGACTATGAATACCGGCCTATGAATACCGGCCAAAGAAGATTAGATAGGAGTGGAAAGTGGAAGGTCCTTACGGGATCGTAATATATTTTCGCGTATATAAAGTCACTAGATTACACAGTACCGCAAACTTACCTCCATCTTGGCGTAGAACGCGGTCATTTTCAAACATATGTACTTGTATAAACACAGTTTATTTGGGAAAATAAAGCCGTAAAATATGTAAATCATTTTTTAATTGTAAATAATTTATTTATGAACCAAATGAAATACTATACCAATATTTAATTTGTATATATTTTAGTCTAACCACTGACGAGATACTATTAAAGACCGACATCCTAATTGTGAATATTGAAGTGATTAAGAGTCAAAAACTGATAATATTGTACTAATTTTATGATTTATTAGTTTAGTAGATGTATTTATGCGTTTATAACTCAATAATACTCGATCTTTCTTTAAAATTGAGATTTCAGTGTTATCATCAAAGTTTGATTATCAATAAAGATGATAATTGCAGAGAAAAAATTGTAATTTTTGTGCAATATATTACAGCTTTACAAGTATGTATATTTATTTATGGGACATTTATGTAATAAAAAATCATGAATTTAATAATGCATGAGCCAAATATTTATATTAATAATAGCAAATTTATATCAATTGTCGGTAATGTCAGCGTTCTTGAATTACCTCCGGGCCCTTGGGGCCCTTTTTATACCGCCGAAAATTTGCCCAGGGTTGATGGTCTTTAATAATATCTCGTCGGTGGTCTAACATAGGTTTTTTCGTTGTTAAGCGGGGAGCACAGACTCTCGCATAACGCATAACACGTAATGCATAAGAATATGTACCAATCGAAGTTCTCCGTTTCTTTTCCTTCCATGTAATAGAGAACTCTGGTTGGTTCAATTTCTTATGCCTCATGTGTTATGCGTTATGCAAGAGTCTATGCTCCCCGCTTTATTATTAGGTATGGGAATAAGTTTTCGCCCATTAGAGAGATGTCGTTAGTAGCACTGTTTGTGTGTTTGATAAAACGGCAATACATGTATTTGAAAGGTGTGTGTTCAAGCTTTTGAGCCCCTGTAGTTGATATTCGTTCGAAGCGATTTGTTTGAACTAAGCTTTGAAGCAAAAACAATAGGAATGGGACCATAGGCACGATAAGCTGATTCTGCTAAGTGACAACGCTATGTCACACGTTGCAAAACCGGTCAAGAAATACTTGGAAGGAGTGAAGTGGGAAATTCTACCCCACCCGCC